AGAATGCTCACATGCCACAATGCTTAACATCCGTTTATCCATTTCAGTCCTGCACTTGGCATTAAAATGCATTTGAATGTTTCTTTCCTTCCAACTCAGACCAGTAAATGTCCTTGTGCTGCTGAAGTGGATCTGAATATCTGCATTTTTTCTGCAGGTGACCCAGGAGATATCTGATGAAACCAGAGTTTTCCGCCTGCTGGGCTCAGACAGGTAATCCCCCTGCCGAAACAGAAACCTTTTGTTTTATTTAAAGCAGCTTTTCTAGTTCCCAGCTGGGCCTGGCTTCCAGCCCAGCCCAGCTCTGTCTGTGGGCACCAGGAGTCAGGGAGAGAGAGAGGAGAGAGATGCTCTGGGCTTGCAGGGTACCCAGGAAAAGCCTGCTGCTGCTTTGGGATGTCCTGGTGAGCTGGGAATTACCCTGGCTGGTCTGGAAATAACAAACTCAGGTTTTAGTCCCAGTGATCCAAATCCACACATTTTCCATAAGATCCAGCAGATCCCTTCCAGCTGCACAGGTGGGGAGAGGTTCAGTTGTCCCCAGGTTTGCAGCCTGAGCTCCAGGTTGGACCTGTTCCCTTGTGGGTTCTCAGCCAGCCAGGGGGATAAATGTAGGAATAGACAGGGATGAGTGCAGCCACAGAATCCCACACTGGTTTGGGTTGGAAGGGACCCCAAAGCTCTTCTTGTTCCACCTTCACTAGCCCAGGTGGCTCAGAGCCTTGAACACCTCCTGCTCTCAAACCCCTGATCCTCTGCTCCCTCATCTGCCCTTGGAAGTGCCAAACCCTTTGGTTTGTATTTTCCATCTCTGTACAAATGGAGCAGGAGTTTTCCTTCCTGCCATTCCAGTGAGATGTGGATCTCCTTTTTACCTTGGATCACTCCAGAACTGCTGGGGTGCAGAGGTGAGGATCAGGGACAGAGGCTGTTCAGAGACTTCATTTGGAAGCTCTTTGAGGAAAACAAAAAGCAGAGACAGGTTTAATCCCAAAAACAACAGGAACTGGTGCAAGAGAAATGCTCAGCATTTGGGAGCTCAAAGGCCCAACCCCAGCAGCTGATGGGCAAGGTCCAGCAGTGGTCAGTGGGCCAGCACAGGGGGAGAATCATTGTCCAGAGTGGCCACAGGAACATGATCCAGCAGGACACAGGCAGAGATGGGGTTCAGTGACCCCTGGGAACCCATGAGGTGATAAATATTGAGGAGGGAGGAGAATTGTTGAGGTTGCTTATCAGAAGATGTAGGAGGGGTAAATATTTGGGTTGCAGATGATGGGATTGTGGAATTACAGAATGGGTTGGGTTGGAAGAGACCTTTAAAATAATCCAGTTCCAACCCTTCCACTGCATCTTGTCCTTGTGTGTTTTCATCAGAAGTGATGCTGGAAAATGAGGGAACTGGCTAAAGAATGAAACACCCAAGTTACATCAGAAGCATTTTTTGCCCCTAACCGTGGATCCCGTTTGTGTTTGGTTGCAGAGTGGTTGTGCTGGAGAGCAGACCCACAGAAAACCCCACAGCTCACAGCAACCTCTACATCCTGGCTGGACATGAGAACAGCTACTGAGCAGCCCCCAGCCCAGCCCCAGAGGGAGCTGGGAGCCAGGAGCAGCAGCAAACCAGGACTTGGCTGCTCCTTGTCTGGCACTGTGCTGGGCTTGGGGTGGGAATCAATCCATTTTTGCAGCTGGGAACAGCTGGTTCTGTCTCTTGCCACTGTGTGGTTGGTTATGTCGAGTTTGCTTAATAAAAGCTGAGATAAAGAGCCCTTTACTCGTTAGTTCTAGGGAAACAGAGCCTTGAAACGTGTTCTGCAGTAAAGGTGCCATAAACTGTTAAATATTCCCCTTCCCTTGGGTTTTCCTTTTATTCTGTAGATACAGATCTAGTGCTGGTTGTTGCCCTCTTTTATACGGAGTCTTAATAAAACAAAGATTTGTGTAGGAAGTGAAAGTATCTGCAAAGCTTTTTGGTTTTAAATCTGCCATTGGGTATGGCTTTGTATAATAGACTATTTAATCCTTATTTATTAATCTGCTGCTAGGATGGGGTAATGTCTAACTTTTAGCAAAGGAAGGTTGCAGAGCAGCTTTTTTTTTTTTTTTTTTTTTTTTTTTTTTTTTTTACAATTGTATAAAGATTTGATTATTCTTTTTCCTTGTAGGGATGTAGTGCATTACTGAGGGGTGTGTTACCATGTTGGGTGATCATGTAAAAAAATGCGGTTTTGTACAACAAAGTATTTTGTACTGATTTTTCTGCCTGCAGAATTGCCATAAAAGGGATTTTCTTACTTCCTAGACATAGGGTGTGTGTACACAAAGTAGAATATTGATATCAGACCTGTTGCTCCTGGGTGCCTGTGTACAATATCCACGTGTGTGTGCGTGTGCATGTGTGTGAAGTTGCCTGGCAGTGTGTATTTTTTATATATATATTTATACATATATATATAAAAATGTACAAAACATATATGCTTTATTTTCATAAATTAGGGATAAGCCTTGTGACATGAAGTGGAAATTGTAGCAGGTCATCATCCTTAATGAATGAAAGTATCATGTATCCAAGTGGCCACGACGTGTGGTTTATTTATGCTGCTGCAGAGGGGAGCTGGAGCCACAGCTGAGGCTGAGCAGCTTTGCAGCTGCTGTGCTTTGGGGATGGCTGCTGCCCCAGCTGGGAGTATAAATAAACATGATAAGAACCATATTCTGTATCCAAGCTTTGATCACTTTCTGGTCACCTGCATTTTTTTTTTGTTTTTCCTTTCTCTTTTCTCCATTGAAGAGTCGCATCGGTTCCTTTTGTCTTCCTCATTAATTAAAATTCTTGAGGTACCATTCAATATAGACTGACTCCAGGAGAGATCTGGTTTTACTACCTCACATTACCCTGCTGGCTTTGATGTGAACACTCCTGGGCAGGTGCAGAATTCCAGTGCTCACAAACACTGGAATTGAAAGGTTTTTTAATGAAATGCCTGTTCAGCTCCTGAGATCTGCTGCCTAGGAAGGAGAGGCTGGAATTGCCAGGTCATTTGAGCAGAGCAGGAGAGGTGTGTGAGAGCTGGGAGTGCTTTGGTGCTGTGTTGGCATCCAGCTCCCTGATCCATAATTGAGCAGGGAGGAATTGTCTGGGCCCACGGGATGGCTCAGGGACATCTCCTGACTCAGGCCAGCTGCAAGGTGGGAAGGGGCACAGGGGAAAACAGCCCTGCACACACTCAGCATTTTAGCCACTGTCACTCACAACTAATTCTTGCTGACTTGACATGCAAATCGAGTCAAGCTTTTCAGTTCTGACGCTGTGTCAAAGCTTAATAAGTACTAAGTGTACAGAGGAAATTTATAAATCACTCCACAGAGCATGAAAAATGTGCTTTAGGGGTGGTCAGCTGGAATTGGAAATGTGCTTTAGGAGTGGTTAGTTGGCTCAGCAGTATTAAAAGCAGGACGTGTGATTTTTGTCTTCTAAAAGAGTTCTCTAGTGTTGAAATTACTTCTCCACAGGTAACAGTGACTGGTGATTAACCTCAAATGGTGCCTCTCCTGGTCTTTAAAATAAAAATTAAGGTGAAGTGAAGCACCAGGTGTAGATATTGTAGAGCAAACACTTTTTAATTTACCTCATTCACTACAGAAGGTAATTTCAGCTTCGTCTTTGAAAACACTTAAAGGAGATCTCTAAAAGACTAGAGAAACCTGTAAATAAAATCAGAATATTTATGGGGAATAACTGGAGTAAATAACTCTTAGGTCATGACACTGTCATGCAGGAATAACAAGCAGAAAGTATTTTTCTTTGACATGAATTGCTGATGTTTTGCTGGATCCTAAAGAATAAACTTAGGAAAATCCTTGTTTAATCAAACCTTTTTTAGCTGTTGAAGCATTTCTAATGGCATGTTGTGAAATGCTTAGTGCTGGTTTCATAGACAGTGGCATTTTTTGGCATGATGCTGTTTCCCAGTGTAAAACCTCACTTTTGTTCTGTACCACAGAGCAGATTTGTGTGTTCCAGCCAGCCTCAGTGACTCTGATCAGTATAATTTGTGTTTGACTGTTTAATTTAGTCTGGTATTGTCTGTATCTTTGTTTTTGTGGAATTTAAACCAGGCTTGAGAAAGCCTAACAGGGGGAGCTCAGGGGTGATGAAGCAAAACCTTCCTCAGCCCCTCCTTCCTCGCTCAACATTTATCAAAATTTTAATTATTGGATGCACGAGGTCATGTACCCAACTTGAAAGCCTTAAAACAGGCTCCCAGAGCTCTTGGAAGTACAAACAGCATAGGAAGAGCAGTCTGTGGATTCATCTCTTTGGATTTCTCACCAAATTCCTTGCAAGTGAAAAATGCAGCTGGAATTGTGCTGACATCTCTGTGAAGAAGAAAGGTACAACGCATCAGGGGAGCCACGGTGTCTCTGGATGGAAAGGACCAGACTGGGAGACTCTGAAATGTGCTTTTTTTTTACCTTGTTTAGTCCTTAGGTGTAACTGAGACTCATAACTGCACTCGTTCAGTTTGTGTAACCAGGCTTTGTTCCACGGGAATTTCTGTTGCAGTTCAGTCTATGCCAAATAAACTGCTTTATTTGATCTGTGCCCTGGTGACTCTCTGGGAGCAATGCCTTGCTCAGAGGGTTTTGGGGAGGATGCAGCCAGCCCCAGGTTTGTGGCTGCTGTGGGAAGGGCCAGTTACTGGGAGATTTATTTATAAATAAATACTTATAAATAAAAAATTAGAAATAATTTATATTAATTATAAATATTTATGTTTATATATTTCCCCACAAAATATGTAAATATATAAATATAAATGAATATTTCTCCTCTGCAGGAGATGGTTAACTCTGAGAATTCAATCTTGGCACCTGGAATGTGGGGACTGCGCATCCCTGGTGAATGTGGCTTGGGAAGAAAAATAATTAGTGGATTTTTGTTCCGAGCTGGGAAGCACCTCAGGAAAGGATTGGGGAGGGAGGGAGGAGGCATGAGATGGAGTGGGGTGCCCACACTCATATTCAGATCTAATATTGAAAGCAATTATCACCACAAAATGCCGCCTTGGTCGGGGGATGAGGAGAGGGATGAGGATCCAGCTGGGTGCACCAGGAGAGAGAACAGGATGGTCAGGGATGGAAAGCTCGTCCGAAGGAAGGCTCTGGCTGCTGGCAGGAGCCCGTTCAGTGGCAGAGACACGAACCGGGCAGTGGGAAGATGTTCCAGGGAAACCTCCAGGAGCCAGAGGGAAGTGCGGGCGCTGCCCGAGGCTGGCAGACCCTGTGGGAGGATGTTCCCTCTTCCAACCCTACAGGAAAACGGAGTCCAACCTAGCGATGCTCTGGGAAGGCAGAGAGGGGCAAAGACAACATGATCATAACAGGATGGTTGGAGCTGGGAGGTCTTTAAGGTCCCTTCCCACCCAGTCCATGAGTGGTTCTGTAAAGCCACGAACACAGGGCATGAACTCCGGGGGGATCGTGAGGCGCGGAGCCAGCGTGCGGCCCCGGCAGCAGCCATGGG